ACTATTTATGATAGTATATACATTTAATTGAAAGGATTGTAGGACAGTGTATAGTTAGTCTCTGCTTATTATGATAATTCGTTAGGAAAATAATAGACTACTAATATAATTTTATAAGCAGATTTCCTTTTGAAAATTTGAAAATATTTTTTGGAATTGTACTATTGGTTGCATATGAAATTCTCGAATTTTTTATTAATTTTTATTGTGGGATTTTAACTCGGAGAATGTTCAATGACTTTAATACATATGATTACACTTTCAATAATATTTCTTATCCTTTTGGTTTCTTTTTTAAAACACGTAGTAGTATTTTACCTAGCTAATACGAATGTGCATAAGATACAAGTGTGCAGTTTGGTACACGAACCGTTAGACGAGTGTATCGATCACACGAGTCTGATACGCATTCGTACTAGTTAGATATAACCGTTTTTGTACCAAATGCTCAAAAAATAAGGCCGTCCGGCCTCTTTTTTACAATAGATGACACTGTTAACCAGCCTCAAAAATATTTTTCCATAGGTTTCCTCTTCCTTGAAAATATTTGAAATGCCTATGACGTCACTATCGTAAACTTTTAGGGAATTTTATAGTCATTTTTCGAAAAAATAATATTTTAAGGCGTCCTCTGGCTACACATTGCAAGATATTCTTTGAGCACTTGTTACACAAATAAATTTCAGTACAAATCACTGATAGTAATTTACTGAACTGGTCACTAATCACCAAGTTAATAATCAGAGCAAAGCCTCGTTTATTAGAATTACTGTATTATGATAAAATCATGGAGAGCGTGTCATGTCGTTTTATGAAAATACGTTTTACACCTTATAGAGGTCTGGTCAGCTATTCAAATATTCATGTTTTACTCGGCGCTATCGCACGTGAGATCGATTTCGTGGCCGAGCATTAAAGATTGACGTATCTCTTCCAACATTAAACCTTGTCCATTAAGCATTCATGCTTCCAACGTTAAAACTGTCGCTTAAAGATGATCGCGAAAATCATATTAGATACGTAGGAATATTTATAGCCCATAGTATTTCAACCTGGCCAAAACCAGCAGTGACCGCGGAGTCGCATGCAAAAAAAATACATAACCAAACCTACCATGGACTTATAACCTAACCTAACCTAATTATTTTTTAACGTGAAAATATAATCTAGGCACGTATTAACAAATATATTTTCTTTGTCCACCGAATATACAATTCTTACGGAAAGTCGTACAACCCTTGCGTCATTTTTATCATACGAAAATGAAATTCATCATTTATTTAACGTAAGATGTAAAATTAGTTCTATCCAACTTGAGCAAATGGTAAAATAAAATCTATAAAAATTCATTCGATTCTCCATATGGACACGTGTGACTTCTACCATTTTATTATAACTATATAGAAGGGAACCCAGAAAGGGGTACTACTCTCGTATAAATTTCGAAAATATTTATAACATCCTTCCGTAGATTCAACAACCGCAAGGGTTGCGGCACAGGTCTGTATGCAGAATTATGAAATATGAATGGCCCCGTTCGAGCAACAGGCCGATTCAGCTTGAATGGTAAGAGTCTCGTTTTGATAGTCATATTTGTAGGTTTGCAAAATCACACCTGAAAATTTAAGGGGTCGCGTTATACACACGTTATACGCACGTCCGTTGTAATATATTTACCAACAGATTTGCATGAAACACTCATAACTTCCAATAGCGTATCGTAGAGTGAATATATGTATCTGCAGATTGTACGAACCGTTATCTGCGTGGTTATCTTCTGAAAACACAGAAACCCTATGCGAATAAATATTTGAATAAATCATGTATTTTTTTTTTTTCAAAGTCATCTCGACATATACATATTGATATATTTTACATACATCTATTGATATATTTTATCCGAGTAAGCGGAGTGTGAGTATTAATTTGATATCCAGAACAGACAGACTTCCAAGCCCCGATAGGTCTAATGGGCGTCTGGGCGAAGGAGCATGTCAAGCGTAGTTAGTGAAATTACGTAATTCGTTATAAGCACACCCTAGAGAAGAAATCGTCCCTTAACTAGCAGCCAGGGAAACTTTAAGAAGCAAAATCTCTCTAGTAAATTCCCAATAGGAAATGTTAAACTTAATCTACGGTTTCCAAGTATTCCAAGTAAGTCATAATTCGAGATCAGCACTCCGAACATCATGCTGCTGCTGCATATAGCTCTATAGATAACGATATTTGGCGATCCTCTCAGAATGGCAGAAACTTGATTTAACCAAATTCCACAATTGACAAACATCCTCAAAAGGGTGATCAACCGGATTGAAGCTAATGCCACGAGGAAATCGGACTGGCATTGAACCGGAAATCAAGCTTCGAATTAGAAGCTTTTGTCCAAGGAAGTTCCAGATGTTTAGCTTTGCTTATGAATGGTTGGAATGTTGGAGCACTGCGATTTCCAATTAACATACGAAATTGGAATCTATCGAATGGTATACGTAAACGATTAGATATCTGTAACTGGAAATTCCTATTCCAATGATACAATTGCAGTTTCCCTGCATGCAAATAGATATACGAATGAATTAGCGTTTTTTTTTTTTCAATATAAAAATTTCAAACACAGTTGACTAATCTCGTTCAATATTCTTAAAAAAATTTGGTAGATCCATAGAATTCGAAAAAAAAAAAAAATTGAAGTGTAAGCAATAAAAATGATAAGGTAAATATCTTGTAAAGGTGTACAAATAGAAAAGATCGATAATATGAATTTTGTCATTTTATTAAATGTGTTACAAGATAAGGCTAGCAAGGCTTTGATCGTGCGCGTGTGTGTATTCGTTCTCGAAGTGTCTATAGAGATACATACATAAAGAAGAAATAACAGTAGTGGTAATAGTAGTGGTAGTGACAGTAAAGGAGAAGAAGTAGAAGATATAAAGAACAAAGGAGGAAGAAATGAAGAAGAAGAAGAAGAAGAAGATATCAAGGAGGCTGCAAACGAACCAACGGACACAATAACATTATCGTTCTTATTTTCTTTCCCACGTTCTCTCTTTTTCGTCTTTCTTCTTTTTTCTTTCTTTTTCCTTCGCTTCCTAAAGCGGCCACGGCAACGCGTAATAAACCCACCCGCCGCTGAGACGGTGTATCCCGAGCTCGCCATTATCTTTAGTAGGACGCGCAAGGCGGTTTTACGTGAAATATATATATACATATATATATATATATATATATATATATATA